CCAGCGGGGCTCGAGTGGCTTTTGAGGAGCTGTGAAGAGCAGCAGGAGCTGGAGCTGGCGCGGAGCAGCTTCCCCAGTGCTCTCAATGGGCCCTTTGTGCACAGCCGGGGGAAGCTGAATCCAATTACCGCCAGCGGGAGGCAGGGCCGCCAGCACCCGCTTCCCAAAACCACCCAGCGTGGCCTGGGGGACCCCCCTGCAGGCCCCAGGACCCTGCCACCCTTTTGTATCAGGTTTTATTTTGCGTTTAGCAAGAGGCAGAAACCCCCTGGCCGTGCTGCAGCCGTCCCAGCTCCTCAGACCTTTTCTGATGGGCTCACCCGCATCTTCCAAAGAGGACTGGGAAAGCTCAGCCTGTTGGTGGGGCTGGTGCTCCCCGCCTCGTGCTCACCTTCCCCATCTTCTTCTTCAGGGCAGTGACAGCGAGTACGAGGTGGACCCTGCCCACCAGAAAGCCCACTCCTTTGTCAACCACTACATCAGTGATCCCACCTACTACAACTCGTGGCGGCGGCAGCAGAAGGGCATCTCGCGGGCTCAGGCGTACAGCTACACCGAGAGCGACTCGGGGGAGCCCGAGCACACCCCCCTCTCCAACAGCACCTCCACCCAGCAGGGCAGCCTCTTCCGCCCCAAAGCCAGCAGGACTCCCACCCCCCAGACCCCTGGCAGCGCCCCCAGCCAGCCTGGCACCCTGTATCGCCCCCCCAGCAGCCTGGCTCCTGGCTCCAGAGCTCCCATCGCTGGATTTTCTTCTTTCGTTTGATATTGAAGCAGAAGCAAAAACAAACAGGAGGAAAAAAAAAAACAAACAACCAAACACAAAAACCAACGGAACAAAAAAAAAAAAAGAAGAAAGGAAAAGAAGCTTAAAAAAAAAAAAAAAAAAGGCAATCCCCAAGAAATTAAGAAAAAAAACTGCCACTGAGAGAAGAGAAGGAGGAAGTGGAGAGGCCAAAAGGCTCCGTGGCTGGCAGCAGTGCCAGGGGGGGCCCAGGCTCAGTGCCCTGGTGGGTGTTTTGCTTCTTGGCAGTGCTGGAGCAGAACACCAAGCACCTTCCCTGGGGCTGGGGAGCAAAACCCAGCTCCTGCTCTTGGCCAAAGCTTTCTGTGTTATGGACTTCTTGGCTGAGGTGGGCAGGAGGGCTTGGGGTATCAAAGCGTTTGCACCAGATTTTGCCCTCAGCTCCTGCTCCTGAGCTGCTGCTGGTCTCACCAGAATCCTGTGGGTGCTGCTGGGCTGAGTGCAGGGGCTCTTGCTGTGCCAAACCCTGGCCCATCTGCCAGCTC